GTAAATAATCGAGTCTGGACCAGACAATCCAGTGATTGATATCATGATAGTTGATCGACGCAATTGGTATACGATAACATGGATCAACCAAGTCAGCGAGCTTGACCACCCGATCCCGTTAGTCGCCTCTTACGACAAGCATGGGTTGCTGAAGACCAACTCTAACCTAGATATTAACTGGTCTATTTAACAGTAATTCATAAACACCTGCTCATGAAATTGAATCGTACAATGAACTGTTTTAAGCAGAGATTTCACATGATTTTGGTTAGGTTTTGTCGCTTTTATTTCAATCGGGTCATAGCTTTTCTATCGGGATAGGTGTAAAATGTACATAACGTTAAAAGAAAACATTATAAACAGCAGTACTTCTATATTCAAAATCAAATATGAAACATTGATACACAATTCATAATCAAACCATATATGGTGCTGTGTACATATGCAGCAGGACAACCCCACAGTTCAGTACACAGAAACACGAAATGTATGTTTGATAGGACAGCCTCTCTCCTCTCTAACGCTAGGCGTCAAACCTACAATATAGTTACTTCAATAAAATTACATGAGTAAAGAGTTTAACACTCACATGTTTGCGTGGAAATTTCGTTCTATCCTACAAACAAAACTTGCGTAACTTCCGCGTGTCACATTGGGTAATACAGACGTGTGCTACATGCCATGTCGTCTTGCCAAACAACGCAGCGTTAAGACGCTATATCGTGCACTGCTTTGTCGATCTGCAGCCACGGTCTGGCGTGTGATAAATAATACCTTGTCTGATCATGTCGAAACAGTTTGGAAACTGTTCTCATTTCAAGGACCTTCTGTGCCTAATTATCATTGTGCGCGCGTGTGTGCGCGCGTGTGTGCGTGTGTGTGTGCGTGCGTGCGTGCGTGTGTGTGTGTTTTACGTCGCTCTCAGCAATATTTTAGCTATATGAAGGAGGTCTGTACATAATCACGTCTGAACCAGATAATCCAGTGATTGATACCATGATGCGCAACGACCACGCCGTCGAGGTACTTTGACACGCCATCAACAGAGTGAGAAAGCCTGACCATATCCTATCAACTGAGTTGCCGAGTGCGACCATCCCTACGGGGATGATGCCAATCGTCAATGTCATAGTGGCAACAGTTTCATGTATTGTATCGACATAGATGTGGCAGGTGTATTTCCCACTGATGACGTGTGTCAAAGAGGAGTGACAATAATTTAAACTTCCACTTGCTGACGTTCATTCTTATATTGTAGACAGTTTGTTTTGCTGTGACACTCGGGAAGTGAAGTTACAACTTACAAATGCTATTTTACCTGTGCAGTTAAAGTAGCATATGTCCGGCGTCTGTTTATGCATGTATGAACCCGGACGTAATCAAGATCACGACTGACTTAATTTATTCTTTACCGCCCGTGTGGTCTAGTGGATATAGCGTCTGCGTGGCCTGGAAGGTCGGCGGTTCGATCTCTGGCCGCGCCCTACCAAAAGACGTGAATAGATGGTACTTGTTGCTACCCTGCCTGGCGCTCGGAGTCAGTAAACTCTGGCTGAGTGGGGTATTCATGTTAAACTGTGGCATGGTATCTCAGAGAGATTAGTCAGTACGGACTACTACAACAACAAAACACACAAAAACGCACACGCGCGCGCGCGCACACACACACACACACACACACACATATATATATATACACCTATATAAGTGCAATTAACTTGGACGCGAGGTTAAACCCTTGGAAATCCTAAAATATTTGGCTTTAACTTAGACTGTGGCACAGGGTTCTGTCATATTATCCATGTGTGTCTTCCTTACACCTGCATCAATCAAATAGTTATTTGTATGTGTGACATGCTGGTATGTCGAGGTATATTTGTACACGCATATTTGTTTGTTTGTTTGTTGTTTTACCCTCTGGATGCCGAGGGTTTTTTCTGACGCACACTTTCTTAAGATCGGAAAAGTGAAGGTTGTGCGAGAACTGCGCTCACGCGGCACTGGATCTACCTCTGGCTATAAAATTACGCAGAGGAGGAGAATATTAAATTTCCTTTTTGATGGTGTAAATGTAACTGCAATTATTAAACCGGTTTAAAAAAGACACTTCTAAGTGTTGTCCGAGAATATATTTTGCGTTGAAAAACCGGTAAATTTCTCCGCCTTTTATCGTACACCGATAAAAGTACTGCGCGGTGATTTTATTAATTTGGAAACTTTACGGAAACTGTGGGCGAACAAAATACTGCCTGATATCTGAACGACATAACTACATACCAAATGGAGTTATATAAGGCCGTGGGCTAGGTATGACCCACGAGCACCCCCCACCCCCCATATCCAAACCCCACTTAATTTTTTTAAAGCCCATAAACATACTTAACATGATTTTGAATGTTAACAAGAAAAAATATGGGACGAACCTGTTGTTACAGCCTTTCAAAGTATGGTACCCCATATCGCGTTTTCGCCCGGTTTTGCCGTATATCACTTGGGGGTATGATTACGTTTTGGGTTGTCATCTTACTAGTGATCCACTGATCTTCAAGTGTGATATACCACTGGAAGCCATATATAAGTACCTCTCCAATGAGATATCAATAGTTGGAATTGAGTGAATATGGACCAACCCATGGCAAATCGAACGTCATATATCCCGACAAAACCAAATTCTTCTCGCAGAAACCTTTAATCCGGTATATGTTCTAGGTACGTGTGCCTGATTCCACCATAATCTTCTAACACGTGTTCCAGTACATCTCTTGAAGTACTTACTTAACATGTGATGTTACCAGGTGAAAATATTTTGCACAATTTGGAACAAATTTACTCTTATAATGTCAGAGTAGGATACCTAATATTGCATTCTCGGCTTAGCTACATCGGAACAACGCTTGGATGTATGCTCAGGATTTGGCTTGTCATCTTGTGTGTTATTCACCGACCTCGATGTGTTATATACCATAGGAAACCATATATAAACATCATTATTTGATGTAGGCTGATTATTGATCTACTTGTGGACAATCATACAGAATACTTCTTGACAACTCTGATATCACTCACTTTTGTATGCATATAAGAGGTTCACAGTATAATGCTCGAGTCGATTGTAGAATGAAATGGACATATGTGTAACATATTCAAGATGGCAACCATAAAGCTGTGCAAAAAGAACTGATCATAATGTTAATGTAATTCCAGCAAATATACAAATCAATTTCTTGGACGCAGGCTTGATATTTTGACAAATTTTGCCATTTCAAGTTGAGTTTCCGATTCTTTAGTATAGGTACTAGTTAAGGTGAATTTGCAGGGGGGCACCACCGAAGGTAAAAGACGAATTCACTTACTAACATTTAATTCATACATAACTTAGCTACTTAAGTTTCCAATGTACAGAAAATTTCCAAATGCGAATCGTCCAAATCGTATATGAATGGCTTGAAATGAACAGGGACCATGCATTCACAGAAATAAATTATATTCCAATTACATACTTAAGATTCTCTTACAGAATACCCAAGTTAATATATATGGAAATGTCCCACCTTGTAACAATGTCATCACCGTGATTATGTGTCTTTTGAGGTTGAACTGTTGTGACTGAGACCAACATCTTATACAACCGGGAACAACTCGAAGACAGCTTTGACATCTCAACCTAAACGGAAACGTATCGCCAGTGATCCAGAGCCAGGGTGCTTCATATATGTACCTGGCTTGAAGTATGGCCCACTACAACGTCTGAGCCAAGCAAAAGATCCTGATAAGAAGATCGAAAAGCTGAAGGAGAGATCAAGCGTAGAAGGATGGCAGAACCTCCAGAAATGCCAAATCAAATGGACGTGTCACGTACAAGCCTGCCGGCAGTTCTGGAAAAAAACAATGGCTATCACAGAGAATATTATCAGCGTTTTACAATGAACCTTGACCGTTTGAAACAACGTGGAATTGAATCTTTAGGAAGGCTTTGGGAAAACTTTTGTAAGAATCCGCTACGCGGATTCATACAGTTTGCCCATCGGTTTTTCGATTCATACCTCAATGAACCGAAAAAAATAAACAGTCAATCCTTAAACAACTTTCGATCGTTGACAGACCAAACTGAAACCAGTTGCAAAATCTGGTTGCGCATGAATATTGATATATGCCCAAATATGGGCATTGTTGACATTTCTATGCATACGCAATAACAACATGCGCCTGCAGTTGTGTTTGCAAACATAACAGCACCGACGCTCTAGATCCCTTTGGAAAACTTTATTCAACTTATGGTAATTCAAGCGCCATGTTGTTAGTACGCAGGATGGTTCGGTTTCCTTGATCTGTCAGCTGAATTGATATCATGTGAATGAACTGTAATCGGCCAAACTCGTCCCTTTCCGTAACTGCTGCAGACATGACCGCTCTTCATTCGTGACCGACTCGTGTTATTCCGGGTCAAGCAGGTCTACCCATAATTCCCTGTATGGCCGAGGGCGCCATTTTGGAACACAAATGTAAACAAACACTCAAACCTCGTGTAATCGATGGTAACGCTTGAAAAGGTAAGAATTCATGGCTAACCCTTGCCCAAAGCCAGCTGACCCTAATGACCGAAAAACGGGTGTTGGATCGTAAAGACGTGTAGAAGTGTCCCTAAGACCGAGAACGGGTGTTTCATTGTAAAGATGTGTAAGTTTCCCTAAGACCGAGAACGGGTGTTTCATTGTAAAGATGTGTAAGTTTCCCTAAGACCGAGAACGGGTGTTTCATTGTTAAGATGTGTAAGTTTCCCTAAGACCGAGAACGGGTGTTTCATTGTAAAGATGTGTAAGTTTCCCTAAGACCGAGAACGGGTGTTTCATTGTAAAGATGTGTAAGTTTCCCTAAGACCGAGAACGGGTGTTTCATTGTAAAGATGTGTAAGTTTCCCTAAGACCGAGAACGGGTGTTTCATTGTAAAGATGTGTAAGTTTCCCTAAGACCGAAAACGGGTGTTGGATCGTGAAGCGAGAGTCACCAGAGCGTGAGGCACGGTAACGGTATAACGAGACAGCGGTGGCACTATAGCGCGGTAATTGAGCGGATGGTAGAGCTCGGGCTGCGCCCGGTAAACTGCATTGTTGCCCACGGAAATCCCGGTCGAAATCCACCTGAGCCATCCACAACGAGGACGTCAAGTATTTCGAAAACTCGATTGACAGCCGAAGGAAGGAAGAGCAGCTTGTGGATGCCAGGTACGTAGCAGTAAAAACCGGCTACACTCATCAGACCGTCAATCACTCGATAAACTTTAAAGATCCAAAGACCGGGGCACACACGAACACAATAGAGTCAATGTGGCGTGCAGTGAAGAATTGTGCCATTCCAAGTTCCGGGACACAGAAATCACTGTATGATTCCTACTTCGTAGAGTACATTTTTCGCAAGAAGTACCTGAGCGGCGCCCCTGATAAGTTCCTGGCCCTTCCTGGATGCAGTAAAGCGCGTCTACACGCCCACGTTGGACAGTGTCGCAGCTCGTCTCGAGGAACGTAAAGCTCTCCGTTCCATCGAGAACGTAGTTGCGGCAACCGAAAGCGCCACTGCCTAAGCCACGCCTTGACGTGTTTCGGCCCAAAGTGACAGTTCCCAAACAAACAGACAGCCAACCGAAACACGTCTGCAGTTTCCCTCCGGGAAACCAAGCTGCACTGATGAGTCCTGGTGGGACGAAACGTGTCTAAAGGGATTACTCTAATCGGATTAAACGGATTCTAATCGGATTAAACGGATTAACGCTTAAATGTCCTTGGGCGTAATAAAGTATTATCTTATTCATAACATTTCTGAACAAAGTGTCATATCAAGGTTAGATCTCTGTCAAAACAGTGCCATGGAAAAGCCAAACAAATAGCCTAGAAATAAAAGTAAATACTGCATTGCATTAATCTGCATTTCAAGAAAATTTAGCAATAATTCATGGAATGATATTGACCTCGGTGAGGATCTTTCTGCATTGTCGAACAAGTTATTCCCTATGTAATGTATGTGTTGAATGACCCTGACTTTGTTGTCAAAATATTGTTTTGACATTTGTTAAATATGGGGATAAATGTCATCTCTGAATGTTTGACATGAATTATTATAATTAGGGCAGTTCTAAGTTGGAATCACAACTGGGGTCTTTTCATTTGAATCAAATGTACAACATGTACAGTTTGGACATTTCTATGATGTGAATGCTACTTATGTTTGTAGAGTGTCCGGATGAATAAAAGAGACATTCATCTGTGCAGCATCAATGCAAAGAAAGACCATAGAAGAGCAACAGTGAGTGATAAATATTTTGAAATTATTCTGTTTGGTTCATATATATAAATATATATTTTTCCATGTTGATGAGTTGAAACAATCACTAAATGGCATCTCTTCAGTCCCAGCAGTCTATGCTTGCCATACAAGCCTAATTAATAGATCGGGTAGTGATCGAGTGGGCTCATTGATCGCATGTTACGTAATCATACCACAATGATGTGGGATATTGTCCATAACAGTTATCATCGGTTTGTCTGGGCCGAGTTCATAACATTAATCTCTGGTTTGTCTGGTTGAGATTTGAGATGTGATTATCTTAAATGTTTGGCATATAACAAGACTCACATATGATAACTTATGTGATTTTGCTGCCTTCTATCTGTAAGTACATGTGGCAACAATTCTTTTTGATTGCTTAAATCTTTGTACATAATGCTGCAGAAACTGAAGTCCTGCTTGAGATCCCTGGATGAGTACTCCAGGCTGACAGTCAGGAAGGACCAGACAAGGGAGTCATTAACAGAGAGTGCACCCCTTCAGATATCAGAGGTTATTTGCAGACAGCGATGACGAGGGTCCTGTTATTTCAATGGAGGCCGACCGAGAAGTTGTATGCTAAATGGTACTGGGACACACAAAGGCTGGTCTGGCTAATGTGAGAAGACCAACCAATGCCAAGCTGGAGTGGAATCCTTCCAGGACATTCAAGACATTCTTGTCTTGAGCCATGTGGTAAACACTTGAAAGGAATGATAAATGGGACTTATTGTCTTTAAATGTGGACCCAAACACCAAATGGAAAGTTCACAATTCTACTAACACAATGCAGCAGAGATAGAGTCCAACTGGTATCCCCTCATCCTGGTTCCTGTTCATCCATGGCAATATAGAAAGAAAAGGAGGATTGAGGGAAAGTAAGTTCTCTGAACTGGTGAACATAATCCGTAGGTACTGTCAAGCGAACAGTTATCACACTCTGTTATGAGTATTGAAGAATAGGATGAAATTGCATACTGCATCAGGAACCATCATGTGAACACTGTTCAATGTGCGATATACTATAGGCATATGAATAAAAGAAATTGATAATTTGATTGTTGCTTATGTTTCATTTGCCAGCTGTGTAAATGGGGATGTTTCATGATTTTGCCTCAGTTTAATAGCCACACTTATCTTATGAAACCATGCATTGCTTGGGCATCTCAGGAATAGATAACACATGTTTCCTTAGCTCTGAGAACGTCTGATGACACATTGATCTGTTATGTCAAAGGTCAAAGTCACAACCAGCCAAAAAAGTTTGTTTGTGATCTAAATTTGGGCAGGGGTCGAAGTTGGAAAGAGGTCGTGCGTGACCTATATATACTACATTTTGCCCTAAATTGCCTTTTCTGCAGAAGCCTTAGTCACTCTTATACATATACTGGTTATATTATTTTCATATTTTGGTCAATGATATGTTGAATTCTACCAAAGGACTGCATATTTGGTTTTTGTGCTGGATAGCACTTTGAAATGTTTTTGAAATATTTATCACTGATATTGAAGGTCAAATTCACACTCAAAAGTGATAACTCATGAAGGGGTCATTCATTAAGTATTTCTGCAATTATGACTCAAATGCCTATTTCTGGAGATATTTGTGAAGTATTAAGCACGTAGTTGTTATATTATTTGAATACACATATACATGTATGAGCAGTGGTTACAACTCCAGTGTCAAATTAACTCTCTTTCTCTTTTAATAAAAGAATTCACAGTAACTGAGGAAGATCTCACTGTAGTACCATAAAACTAGGGTGAGGCAAATTTCAATGAAGTTAGCATTTTGGATATAACAAGTACATGTACCGTTACAAATAGTCTTATTATCATAAGGCCCAAGTGAGCACATTGTCAATGACTTTTTCTTTTTCTCAGTACAAACTGGAAGTCTGGACATGAAATTTAAGGATATCATTATACGAGAACTGATGTTTGTTCATTAAATACCATTAGCATCTGAAAAGGACAATATATGAAATTGAACAATTGTCTTCTCCAAAAATGTTTTAGGAGGATATGTACCATTAAAGTAACACAGAATATTACAACAGCTATCTGTAATGCACAGGCTAACATTATTTACCAGAATCAAGACATGAAGAAAATTTGCATCCGGATACCTTCCGGAAACCTTCCAGATGCCTTCAGCAACCCTCAAATTTCTTGGTATTTTCAAGATAATTTTTTATGTGTTTTTTGTTAACTTTCACACTTAAGTTAACAAACACCAAATATTTATCACTGATATTGAAGGTCAAATTCACACTCAAAAGTGATAACTCATGAAGGGGTCATTCATTAAGTATTTCTGCAATTATGACTCAAATGCCTATTTCTGGAGATATTTGTGAAGTATTAAGCACGTAGTTGTTATATTATTTGAATACACATATACATGTATGAGCAGTGGTTACAACTCCAGTGTCAAATTAACTCTCTTTCTCTTTTAATAAAAGAATTCACAGTAACTGAGGAAGATCTCACTGTAGTACCATAAAACTAGGGTGAGGCAAATTTCAATGAAGTTAGCATTTTGGATATAACAAGTACATGTACCGTTACAAATAGTCTTATTATCATAAGGCCCAAGTGAGCACATTGTCAATGACTTTTTCTTTTTCTCAGTACAAACTGGAAGTCTGGACATGAAATTTAAGGATATCATTATACGAGAACTGATGTTTGTTCATTAAATACCATTAGCATCTGAAAAGGACAATATATGAAATTGAACAATTGTCTTCTCCAAAAATGTTTTAGGAGGATATGTACCATTAAAGTAACACAGAATATTACAACAGCTATCTGTAATGCACAGGCTAACATTATTTACCAGAATCAAGACATGAAGAAAATTTGCATCCGGATACCTTCCGGAAACCTTCCAGATGCCTTCAGCAACCCTCAAATTTCTTGGTATTTTCAAGATAATTTTTTATGTGTTTCACACTTAAGTTAACAAAATGCACCCCCCAAATTTTGACATTTTTTTTGGAAAGTTTCCGGAAGGTATCCGGGCCGGATCCAAAATGGGAAGGTATCCGGAAGGTTTCCGGAAGACGGAAACCTACACTTTTTTTGCTGTGATATTGTTTCCACATCATAATAATACACTTATTTTAAAATAAACTTGTTATAATGTGCCTTCTCTCTATGTTGATTGTACTTATGTGTTGTGCACTTATTGTGCATATATTTTGTAGTTTGTGATAGTGTAATATTGCCACTGTTTCTTCATGGAATTTTACGCAATACATATCTCATCTTCCACATCTTTGTTGAATGATAGTTTGTTACAGTTGTGTACGGGGGCACGGTTGGCCAAAGTCGCCTTATGCGTTGCAATTCGATATGCAGGGTGGTGTCCCTTGGGCACGCCAGAAACCTATGACAGTGTGTTCGAATCCCGGTTCGCCCCGATTATGTTGTCAGCACTATACCCGTGCTCATGGGTTTCACCAAAGTGGTGAACGTCTAATACCTGCATCACTTCGGGCTTTCCTTCCACATCAAGCCGACACGCCGTGATATAACTGGAATTATACTATTCAAAGCGGCGTTAAACCCAACTCACTCACTCACTACTCTTGTGTACGGTTCCGTTTGGTTAACTGGGTTTGTGTTGTGATTACTTCCGGCTTAAATTTGAAGTATGTTCAGAAGAATGTTACTATGTTCAAGCCAAACATCGTGAATATATCATGCAACCGAATTATGTTTCAGGAGAATAATTGCAAACTAAGGGTCATCATGTTTATTTCCAATGTATCCAGAAGCAAAGATCTTAAGCGGGTGTATAATCTCTGCAGATAGTTAAAACAACTGTCAATACAATAAACCATGCAGAAACATAAACCGCCGTATGAAACGGTATGAATCATATTTTACATACAGTGAACTACTTGAAACTGTGCTCAAATCTTCACAGCAAGCACCATACATGTGATTGTGAAGACAACTTATTACAAATAGCTGATATCAAACCCGTTGTTTTGCATGTGTTGTTTATTGAAGTCATGCTTCATAGAAGCCTGGTATTTAATCGTGTCGAACAATAATTTGCAATAGCAATGTGAAGGGAGAACGACTGAGTACGCGTTACATGCTTGACCTTAATTCCTCCCTGGAACCATTCTCGCTGGCTGCCGGAATAACATACGATACATTGCAAAGGTAGTGCGCAAACAAGAGCTATTCGGGTAAGGGAGATAATCACTCACTCTCTATATTGAAACAGCTTGAATAAGATACGATGTACAGCATTGCAAGGTCACGCGTGATAAAGCTCTATACTACGCATACAGCTAAAGGAGATAATCGCTCGATGCGTAATAGGTCGATTTGTTAGTAAATTTATTGAACCTAATAAAGTCGATATATTTAATTTAATATCATAGATACAAATATGAAATTTTGGAGCTCGATAGGCACATGTTGTCGTTGTACAAAGGCATTGAAAACTGTTCATTGTCACGTCACATAAGACCACAAGGGTGCAATCACGGCTCAATCACCAGCTGAATACAAAACAGAATAATACATCAAGATGACAGTTTTCATGTAAAGATTAAGTATTTCTAAGCAAATTAAAGATACATATATCTAGATGTTGTACATATCTTTAAGTTCCTTAGAAATACTTAACCGCTTTACCAGCTGGGGTAGCAGACCACACACTTTCAAACAATGGGGAACAGGGTAAAAATATGAGAAGGCTGGTTATCATCGAGCAGACGACTCACCAGTCTAAGATGTATTGACAAAAACACACACTTAATTCTCAACCTTATCGTATGTTAATTCAACAATTTATAATATAAACTAACGCCCAAAAGAAACTTTACCAACTGAAAATATAAATTTCAGACAAAGTATAAATATTTTTTTGATGAAGTCTATCTAAAACACATAACCTAAATACAACAATTGTGTATGCAGAAAATGTTAATAGTCTGTTACATGTTTGCGAGATAAAACGCGAAAAAGTGAAAAACACGTGCACCACGGACAACTGCAAATGCACGTGCGGGTCAGGGTATAAAACGATTGCAACGGCAAGTCAGACATCCATAGTGATAAAAAAAACACAAAAGAAATGCCACGACTCAAAGTCGAACAACGTGAACGAGCCTTGGGTATGGTACAGATGGGAGCCACCCACGCCCATACTGCACGAGCCTTCGGTTGCTCCCGTGTTGCCGATGCAACGTTACAGACAGACAGGGCGGACCGCTGACAGGCCAAGAACAGGCAGACCCAAGGTGACCACGCCCCATGATGACCGGTACTTACGTTCCTTGCACCTCCGAAATCGCTTCCTGACAGTGACGTCATCGGCGACAAATGCCTTAGGTCACAGGGCTAGTCGACAGACAGTGGCCAGGAGACTCAGGGCTCATTGACAGCGCAACATCGTCGTTTGCGATTGAGATGGACCCGGACTGTACGACGTTGGCAGAGGGTTGTCTTCACTGACGAAAGTCGATTCTGTATGTTTAGGGCTGATGGAAGACAACGTGTTTACCTCCGAAGGGGTGAACGAACGGCGGCGTGTTGCGTGCAAGAGGTCGTACCATATTGTGGAGGGAGTGTCATGGTGTGGGGAGGGATCTGTGGGCAGGAGTGGACACCGCTTGTCATCGTTGACGGAAACATGGCAGCTCAGCGGTACATGGATAACATTCTTCGTCCAGTTGTCCTAGCATTTCTCCAACAGCAGCCACGTGGTGCCATTTATCAGCATGACAACGCCAGAGCCCATACAGCCAGAATTGTCACTAACTTCCTCGCAGCCAACAACGTCAACGTCCTGCCGTGGCCTGCACGCTCACCCGACATGTCCCCCCATAGAACACCCCTGGGACTTAATGGATCATCGTGTTCGACAACGACCACACTCTCCAGCCAACCGGCAAGAACTGATCTTGGCCCTCCAAGACGAATGGCGTCAAATCCCACGTGACCTCATCAGACGACTGACTTTTTCTGTGCGTCGAAGAGTTTTTGCGTGTATTGAGGCATTTGGTGGTCACACACGCTACTAATGACTTGTTATTGAACGTGAGCGATTGTTTATGTACTCTGCCTATTGTCCATGATTCTGAAAGCACGAGTTTTGTACCACACCCAACTTTGGGGGGCTCTGACGTCATTCTCGGTCACGGTATGATTGTCATTTTCAGTGTTGATTACGTTGATATATTGATCTTCTCAATACACTTTACTTCATGCATGTATGTTTTGTTGTTTTTGAGCAAGAGTGATTTCAAACTCTGGTAAAGTTTCTTTTGGACGTCAGTTTACTTAGCAGTGGGATATTCTGTTAATAATCTCTCATAATTCTATTGAATGGTTCTGTACATTCTATCAATGTTTATTTGTACAAAGCTGTTTTATGTATGTACAGAAGTGGGACATTAATAAATTATTGTCTGTCTGTCTACAATGTATACCGTACAATTAAACCGATTACACACAGGAGATTCACTTTGAGCTTCTTGTTTTCTTTAAATACCACGATCTGAGACACTATAAAGTGGTATTTAGGTAGACATACACAGCAAAAAAAGTGTAGGTTTCCGGTTTCCGGAAACCTTCCGGAAACCTTCCGGATACCTTCCCATTTTGGATCCGGCCCGGATACCTTCCGGAAACCTTCCGGAAACCTTCCAAAAAAAATGTCAAAATTTGGGGGGTGCATTTTGTTCACTTAAGTGTGAAACACATAAAAAAGTTATCTTGAAAATACCAAGAGATTTGAAGGTTGCTGAAGGCATCTGGAAGGTTTCCGGAAGGTTTCCGGAAGGTTTCCGGAAGGTATCCGGATGCAAATTTTCTTCATGGTTTGGGCATATCATACAACTGCAGTAATTTTCAGCACATGCTATCTCCTCATGTTATAGAAATCTTTGGGCATGCTGTCTTTTTGAAGTTTTTCACAACTTTCTTTTGTTATGATCTTTATATGTTGACATAATTGCAATAGGCAATGCGAGTTCTATTATGGAGCTTAACAGTATTCTTAACTTTTATGTTCATACATACAATTTGTACTTAGGAAGAACATTGACAGCCATCATACCACCATATGCTCACTTTGGCCTTTGGTCCTAGTGAGATCATAAAACAGAATTCATCAGTGATTATTTTCCCATATAGGTGCATAACAGTCATGGCATAAATAGTGTATAAACTAAATAAACTTCATCACAGAGACAAAAGCTGTTATTTTCGACAGACACAGCAATAAAAACTGTTCAAAGTGCAGTATTAGTTGCAGAAAACATTAAGAGCATTGACATATTGAATATATGCCCAGCAGCTTTATTCTGGCGTATCAGGTAATCTGAATCTCAACATCTATGACTGATGCTAATGAAACAAAACAAAAAAATTCTAAGATAAAAAATACATTTATTGATCGACAACAAATAAGCATAATGTTTCATATTTACATATCACAGACCACAAGAAGAGGCACATAGAGTAATTACTCAACATCATTCTCTAACAGATATACATGTGTCAGTGTCCATGTAAATCACCCAGACATTGTCACACTTCTGTGGCATAAGTCATTCAGATACATATCAAAGATCACAAGAAGATGCGCAAACACATCAAGTAATTAATCATCTTCTCTCACTGACTTACACGCTGACATTTCTGTGAACTCATCGATCCTGTTATTTCGAAAAGTCTTCTCAAATAATATATCAATGAACACTGCTGGCCTCACAAGAAACAGGTTTCAGTTTGTTCAAAATTGGCTTCAATACAATAATTAGACAATGCTACCATGAAAGGTTTTATCCACAGATACACTAAAATTAATAATATTTGTGTTTATCTCAAGTCGACATCACTCAATGTTATGTCACAGTAACATGACACTATTCTTTTAGAATTCATCAATTGTGGGTTTATATTCCACCCAGACTAGTCACACTGATGTGGCATTATTCATTCAGATTTGTACAGTGTCGGTGTAAACCACCCAGACTAGTCACACTGATGTGGCATTATTCATTCAGATTTGTACAGTGTCGGTGTAAACCACCCAGACTAGTCACACTGCTGTGGCATTATTCATTCAGATTTGTACAGTGTCGGTGTAAACCACCCAGACTAGTCACACTGCTGTGGCATTATTCATTCAGATTTGTACAGTGTCGGTGTAAACCACCCAGACTAGTCACACTGCTGTGGCATTATTCATTCAGGTTTGTACAGTGTCGGTGTAAACCACCCAGACTAGTCACACTGCTGTGGCATTATTCATTCAGGTTTGTACAGTGTCGGTGTAAACCACCCAGACTAGTCACACTGACATGGCATTTTTTATTCAGATTTGTAGAGTGTCGGTGTAAACCACCAAGACTAGTCACACTGATGTGGATATTTGGGAGGCATGCATCTACAAGTAGAATGATTTGGGCACTGGACAAGTAACAATGAATCTCTGACAATTCTGCACTTCCATATGCCAAGCACATTTACCCTGAATGCGTTGCACAGGCAGGCCCATCGTTCTGACATTTGGCTGACCAAACAGTGACTGGGTTTAGATAGCCTAAGTCATTTGCAGAAACTTTGAACCATTCAACAAATGCAAACACATGTTGAACTGTCTGACCTGGATGTAATTCAAGGTTGTGAAGTATGAAGTACTTCACCCTTGCTGGGCGAGGAGACAATACATTTGACAAACATGAGTGACTGTCTGCCTATGACGCATAGATGAGGCTGTTCCGAAGAGAACGGTTGTTCGTCTCACAGCCAAGAGATTCATTGTTCCAAGACAATGATGTGCGTCTGCTGTACATACATGACAGCATGCCCAAATGAACGGATTTGCTGTACATGAAAGAATACACCTTGCATAAATTGTCAAGATGCTCTTTGCCAAGATTATGGAATGAAGTGTTTCGATCTTTGAGAGTGATAAGTGACATGTCACTCCAAACACTGGAGGAAACTTCACGTACTGACATTGTTGATGCTAATGTAACCTCTGGTGATGAGACTAAGACTTCAGCTTTTGATGAAACATCCAAAAGTTTCTCTAACAGGGGTGAAAATTCTGGATCAACATCAACATGTGAGACAGAATACATGAGAAACTTTCTCATCAGCTGGTCCTCTACACACCTTTTGTTTGTTGAGAAGTCAGATAGTATTCCATTGTATCGCTCAAAGCTAAATAGCCAGAAACCATAAATACTACCAAAGCTACGAACAGACTCTTCCAAATGGCAGTGTAAATGCATGTTGGGTGTCAGAAAATGAGCACCATACAGCTCTGACACTTGGTTGCAGAATTTTACCATAAGCCTTCCAGCAATACCTATATTGATATTGCTAATGCAAGGTTGACAGTAGTGTCTGCATGCCAGAACAAATGTCTGCCATGCGCGAAGATGGTTCACTGGCAAGAGGCCCTTCAGACAAATGAGGGAATATACAAGTACCCAATTCTTCCATTCCTTTGCAGTCATTTGTCCATAGTTTGTAGCTATGTTAGTGGGAATACGACCGACCTCTGAGGTTACATTGATTGACTGAATTTTGGAGCTTATCTCTGAGAGATTCCCTGAAGATAAGATCTCTTTCTCGACCCAGTGACCAAACAATTTCTTGGCTGTCCCAAGAAAGAGATTGTGCATTGGGTCAATTGCGCTCATTCTGGAGGGTTCAAAGTAAGGCAACTCCAGAAGGGCTGTGTAACGATAGCCAGAAAACTTCTCAACCTGCTTCTTCTTTGTGAGACAAGTAGCAGCACTGGCCTTACTTGCACACCGAAGATGATCTTCCCTGTTGCGGCTTGGCCACTGGACAAGATTTGGGAGCCCACAGTCACGAATGCCATTTGACCAAAGAGGCTTTGTACAGTGAGAACAGCCTTGAGTGGCACCATGACCCATGAAACCACAAAGTTTCCTGGCAGCTGGAATATCAGCTGATGCACACATCAAAGCCATTTTCACTGACACAGATGCTGACGAGCCTTGAACTTCCATCAACACGCCATTCCACAGTGCTTTTAACTCTGTGACTAATGGTGTAAGGAAGGAGTTTAAACTCTCTGGTTCCTTCGAGAGAGCTGGGATAATACCAACAAGCAAGCAGTTCTCTCGTTTAAACCTTTCATCACGTGGGAGGTTCATGAGGACCATGTACAGTGCACCTACTGATATGTCGCTCCGACGATCAAAAGGTTGAAACCAATCAACATTTAACATTCCCCCAAAGTGATGTGGTTGAGAGAGAAAGTCAGTGCCACCATGCTCATAAAAGCTCTTCCAAATTTCCCCATCATACACATCACCAAATAAATTGGAAGGAACATTCCTGTGACGCCACATGTTACACTTGTCCAAAAACTTGGGCCGCAAGAGAAAACGCTGCAAAGTTTCAATGATGCCACTGTAGCAGAAGACCTTTAAAGGGGAAAAATGTATTTTCCCACCCTTAAGACATACTTCCTTAACAAGGGTAGCATTGCAATGAACTTTGCCTTGTTTTCTACCCGATTTGCCAGCTGCACGACAACTATACACCATGTTTGTGCACTTCATAGCAACCTCAGTGCCATCAACAACATGAATGACACTGGTATATGCATAAAGTGCACAACAGTTAGGGCAGACGATATACTTTGTGAAATTATCACATTGTATGTTGAGAAGCTTTTTGGCCATGTACAGACTAGTTGGGAATATCTTTGCAACTGACGACAATAATTTAGGAATCGTTGCCATCAGAGCCAAAATTTGCCCAATCAGGATCAGAACCTTAACAATGCCAGCATTGCTAATATTGTGTGTCAACTGAATTGAAAAAACTGATGTCACAATCCATTTAACAATGTCTTGTGCCTTCTGTGGAATGCTCTGCTCTGTTGGGTGGTCCCTTGTATGGTCTTCATTTTGAAATCCGCATTCCTGAAACAATTTATTACATATTGTAAAACTGGTGATTCACAAATGATTCAACACGACAATAATTTAATGGGCAAGAACTTTCCTACTGAAGACAAAATGCTGTAGTGTCGAGGGTAGAACTGTTTAAAGAACCCATAAAGTACTGTTTCTATTTTCTTTCTAAAGCTCATATGAACATGATAGATTGTACAACCGATAGAATTTATTGCCCAGGATAAATTACCATGAAGCATTTCCAAGAAATAAATATGAATACATAATCAATATCTCTTAGTGACTCATTATTGAACAATATCCATAGCTTTGATATTGTTGAAATAACTTGCATGATTTATTTTGTGAACACACCCCACCTCTAACACACCCCACCTCTAACACATTACTTGTTGCACAACATTTATTAGAGCATTCTGACCAAATTATAGAGACACCTAGTATATTGTAGGGAGTCATAACACACTAAAAGTATAAAACTCTTGATAAATGAATTGGACAGGTTCTTTGCACCAATATCCTTGACACTTCAGGCTGTTTTCTCAAAAAGTAACGTTATTAAAATTAAAACAAAACACTTGTGGGTTGGTCTAATTGATTTCAGAAACAAAAAGTCACACAGGCCATCTGAAACCATGTGTTACACTAGCTACGTGAACAAACTTTGGTTGCAGCTTGTGATGCTGGATAGGAACAATGTTCTTTTGACAATCTGCTATATGGGAATGTTATTATCATTATCATTCCTCGAGTTGACATGCTTAAATACATTTTGCGATTCAACAAAGATATCAAACATTGAATCAACTAGGAAAGTGTTTACTAGTACTTGTGAAAACAGAGGCAGTCCTCTCATCAATATTTATAGATGAACCCCGAAATCCTTTCCATTCCGCTTAACATTAGTGTGATACCATTTGGTTTGGTGAAAAGTATGAGAACTACACCCTCATACCAGTTTTTAAGTACCTGCCCTCTATGCAACATAAAGGGGAACAATGATAATTCAACTGTAATGACATCACTTCATGTACATGTTCTACAAATGGCAGAGACAAACAAGCAGAAAATACAACAAAATTGTTTACTTACAAAGCTTTCATTGTCTCCAGTGTGGACAAAACTTTCATCAACTGGCAACGGTATGGCCTCTGCAAAGAAAATTCCATTCTAGTTCAGTACAAACATACATTACGAAAAATTACATAATCAAGAATATTGTCTATTTTGAAATATTTATCCTACATTTCATTTTGCACATTGCTCTTACTAACGAAGACGTAACTGGAAATGAATGACAATCTAGTAGTGTCTTCAGTACTCTTTTGCCCTACATGAAACCATGACCTTATTTGTTAATTTCTTCAATAGCCACAGATCAAAGGGAGCAAGTAGACACCCTTAACAAATAATGCAAAGGGTATGAGGGGCTGTTGTAGAGTACTGTTTTATGTCCCTTTCAGCAAACAGTTATATACGTGTCATGGCGGGAGGACACCCCAAATGGGCTTTACACATTGTACCCATGTGAACAGCAGCGAATGAGTATGGTTTTACACAGCTTTAAGCAATATTCCAGCAACATCACGACAGGGGACAACAAAGATGGGCTTCAGGGAATGGAACCTTGGTCTTCGGTGTTACAAGAGAACTCTTTAACCATTTGAATACCCTACTGCCCCCATGTGAAAAGAAAAATACCTTAACCACTAGGTGCCCCAAAGCAAGTTGAGATAATTCAATGATGTCGTATGTAAGTACATGAATATCAATACACATCAAAACAAACATAATACATCTAAAAGACTTAGTAATGAGCAAATATAATCCCTGTTATAGTTGTGAGTGAGTATGGTTTTACGCCACATTTAGCAATACCCCAGCAATTTCACGGCTTGGGACACCAGAAATGGGCTTCACATCGTACCCATGTCGGGAATTGAACCCGAGTCTTCGGCGTGACGAGCAAACATTTTAACCACCAAGCTACCCGACCGCCCCGAGCTTAGAGGAAGCAAGGCCAGCCTCACAGTTTACATGAAACTATCTCTTTCATCACAATTCAATTTTCTCAATCATCAAGATGTACAATCATCAAGTCATATGAAACGTATCAATATACACACAATAAAATAGCAATGTTTAAGATTTCAAACATCATCAATATTCAGTTTATCACAAGTCATTACAATGTTGATGACTGATGCCATATTTAAAGTCAGATATACATTTGATAAACATTCAACTCATTGTTGTTATTAAAAGGTCTCCCATTTACAAATGTAGTTCAAAATAGTTCATAGTATAGACTGATGTGCATTGAGAAAATCAACTGTTTACTGCAGCCCGAAAAAAGGGAAGGATGCAAAAAAAACACAAACAAAAATGATGTTTAGAAGAACAGTATAACAAACATAACAAACATAAACATACCAGTAAATGATAAGTCTCTGTCACTTTGGCCCATTGTTGCTTCACTTGTTTTCCCTTCCTTGTCGCTGAATCCCTCCTTTTGAACAAAGAAAAACACATGATTACAGAAGTATTTGAAATGACAGACTGTGGGATTTGGTTCTTTTTTATTTTTCTTTAATGCTGCACATATTAATATTCCAACTATGTATATGGATGGCGTTGGGATGTAAATGATCAAGTCTGGGCCAGACAATACAGTGATTGATAGGTACGATAGCAGGCTATGACCTGTGTCTGACCAATCCATTTGATTGCCTCTTAAGACCAGCATAGTTTGCTGGGAGCCAATTCTAACCCATGAGGTTAGCATGGGTTAGACCTAACAATCAAAACTCAATACATTACTGATTACTTGTATATATAAAATAGTATTCATTTTTCCTGGGTACTACATATGTCATATTATACTTTAAAATGGTGTAAAAATTTGGCTGCATAATTGGCAAGTATGCCATGTTTATTATAAATTTTACAACGTGAGATATTTGAGATTTATCATAAAATGGGTAGGTTTCTATTAAAGCCAATGGATAAAAATGATATCCGTTGGGGTCATATGCTGATAGAGATACAAATATCAAAGGTCAAGAAAGGATTATCTTTATCATGATACATCATCCAAACTGCGTTTACAAAACTTGCATAAAACAGAATTCTGAAATCAGTTTGGCAAGCATCAGCAAAATGCATTGAATGTTTAGTAGTTTGTGGTATCTTTTTTGTTGTATGTGGCTTTGCAATTGAAACATGTAAATATAAAACGTTAATGCCAGAAAATACCAGTCTCGATTATCAAACGAAACAGACACAACTTATCTAAAACAGCAATGAAAATTCTGTGAACAGATCACTGAAAATCAGTGATTACACCAAGTATTCAGGAAAGGGCTAAGCATACCCTGTAAACAAACCAGACCATCAAGTCATGGACCAGAAAATCTTATGAAATGATAACACATTTACTGATTTTGTTAAAACTAAAAATGATATATTTTGAATTAGGTCAGCATAAATATCTATTAAATAAGTTTTACATATTTTACCTTGCTATCGATGTTGATTGTGTCTGCAAAGGCATCAGCGTTGCAAGGTTTTTCTGTCAAGGGAATCCAGGGGCTGTCTGGTGGAAGTTCTGAAAATCAAGAAATAATTTCCTTATAAGCAGTTCGTGCAACAAATCTTATGAGACACGTATTACACAAAAAACTGGCCCATATAAATTTTAACTTAAAAAGTATGTATTGTATTATATCAGTATTATTATACTTTTTTAAGTATCTTACATAATGATATCACTAAAAAGATCAGTGACTTACAAGTTCATGCACTTCATAAATGTATCATAACTGTCATACTTTTAAGGCAAATCAATAACCTGAATTGGATGTGAAAAAAGCTGACAAAAAATCAGTAACTAATAATAAGAAGGAAATAAGCATCTATGTAATACTAGGTGAAAATGTACAAGCATCACCTCATTTGGGCAATAAAAATCAATCAGGTGTAACTAATGAACAATAACATGGAATTTAGCCAGGTGTCTTTATGACTGCTCATGACTGCTTTATGACTGATCTCGTTAGAGCAGAGCCTACCAAGCAAACAAGCAAACTTGGACAATAAACACATCTTAACAGACAACTTTATCAGCTTATATACAGTTAATCATTATATTTAATTGATGTCGTTAAGAGTGGAGCCAGACAGATGAAACGAGCAGACTTAGACAATACACACGTCACTGTTGAATGTGCAGTACCCACCAAAAATGAAATAACCCATAGTTAGTAAAGCTCAAGGATGTCTATTTTGTAAACTTAGTAAAATGCATTTGGCCCTAAATGACACATTCAATTCCACTTTGAAACAAATGTGTATTTTCTATTATTCAAGTAAGAGATATATAGTTACATTAAAAACTATAGGGGTAAGGACTTAAGGACATGCACATAAACCTGATACAATTAATCATGAAATGTAAACATTGATCCATTATCTGCCAAATTCCCTTACCAAAGGGAACAGAGGCTGACACCAAATTAAAACAGATTGGTTCAAACATTTTTATTTCAAAAGAAATCTGGATTGGTAAACAAGCAAAACTTATCTTCCACTTAGCAGCTATAAATCCCTACACTTCTAATTGCATTTTAGTATTGAACATTTTCTCTAAATGCCTGATTTATTCATGAGTTTGAACACGAAAAAGACCTCAAGTACTTCTCACAAACAGCCTGTCTTAAACAACCTTTCACATGACAGCATGTGACATAAACGTATTTGTGAAAATACAGTCGAGGTTATTAAAACACTGAGCTCATCCAACTCTACAACCAGAAAAAAATAATCTGAAAAGCATTATTTTCACCAAATGTAAACTTATATATTCACAACACATTGTGTGATAGACACTGATTCATTGAGTAAGCCTAATATATCTATCTGAAAACCGGTGAAATAAACAGATGAACTTCCTTAACTTAAACTAACTTAGAGGGGCAATGGGTAGTCTAGGGGTTAAAAAATTTGCTCGTCACCCCAAAGACGAGGCTCCACATGAATCCAATGTCTAAAACCATCCTCAATCACCAACCCACTCATTAGTCTCGCCAAGTGTAGTTATGTGTAATCTTACTGTACTGGTTACATGCAACATGTTCATTTATAACCTATATATAAGTATATTTATTATGTATTTAGTGATAAAATATTTATCTGAAAATCTAAAATAGGTATTAACATGTAATTTCATTCAATGAAATAATACCTGCTCTCAGAACTACTTTTAGTACGCCTCACTATGGCGTTCTGGCTATAAACCATCAAAATTACTAATGAAGAACAAAATAAATAGAACATTTGTCTTTTCTTGTCAAATATTGTGCATCTCATCTTGTGACCTTAACATTTGATGTGTTCTCAAGTGGCGCAAATCAGGTCAGTTGAAGAGATGACTATCAATAAACATTGATTGATATTAAAATATGAAAAGCGAAATATGCTCTACATAGAATCTTTCCTCTTGTAACCAGGTCACAGTATCTGATTTTGTTTGATTGTTATTTAACATCGCACTCAGCAATATTTCAGCTATATGTAGACAGGCTGCAAGTGTAAATAAGCAAGTCTGGGCCAGACAATTCATTCATAGACATCATGACCATGGCTCTACGCAGTTGGGATAGAATGGCGCGCATCAACCAAGTCGGCAAGCCTGCCCATTTGATCCCTTTAGTCACCTCCAGCATGGGTTGGTGAAGATAAATTCTAATTTGAATCTTCACTGATTAACCTCGGTGTTGTAGCAAAATTAAACGAAATACTAATAGGGAATGGGACATTAAGGCCTCAAAGACAAACCGATCTAGTGCAAACAAAAAATACTTTCACAGTATAGTGTGAACAACTACAATACTTTTTCTAGTAGTTTTTAGAAGATTGACATGGTATTTAAAATGATGATTCTAAAACTGTTTATTTTTAAGGATAATAACTAGGTCTAATAGATGAAGTGTCACGTGAGGATTTCTGGTTAGAATTGCTTGTTCGTAAGAGGTGACTAACTGGATCAGGTGGTCAGGCCTGATGACTTGGTTTGACATCCTTAGAAAAGTGGAGTAAATATAAGAAAAGCTTACCATCATTTACTGTATCCTTCCGGATATCTAGTCTTGAACACGCTGTCCCGGATGGTTGCTGTTGGCGAAGAAGAAAAGATTCATGATAAGATATGAACTAAAAAAAAATAAAATTCAAGCACACATGAAACTCTCTTTCAAAAGAATAGGGCAAGAATGTAATGAAAAGACAGTGTGACCATAGCTAAGCGGATATAGCAAATGTGTAAAGTTGTTACACTTGAAGGCAAAATATAATACCTTGTGTGTCTCTTTTTCCTGTTCGACGCTGTCATTAGCCTTCCTTTTCTTGGAAATATCATCTTTCTCCACATCTGAAAAATTGAGCATAGGTTAGAAAGCATGAAATTGTGCATGTACATAAACATAGATCTATATGTAAGTGAAGTAGATCTAGTTGAGACATTTAAGGTGAAGTTGTCATTAATTCAAAGGTGAAAACAATCCCAGCCAGGTGATGGTTGTTAAGATGGTGTTAACCAAGTTAAACTAAGCATTACCAAAATAACATATCATTTACCTGATGCAAGAATCCGTCGCTTCCGCGCCTCATAGTCTGGTAACTTGCTTTGCCAATCTAGCCTGCTGTGGGAATATTTCGTACGACGGGAGACAAATGTATCACAATGTGTACATAAAACTTTATCAACAGACATTACTGCAGAATTGATGCCTCAAAAACACAACGATCTGTACCAATAAGCAAAACAAGCTTCGAAATACGTGTTGTTCTCAATACAGCCGGATGTGCAATGAGTGTTTACGTTTTTTCCGGAAGTACTCGGATACTAAAAAACCGATATATTCTATAAGAACAATACACTAAAACGCATGTGTATTAACCTTATACATTTTATAATGTTTAAACACCGTACTGTTTAAGTATTTAAAAAAATAAATGCTTTATTGTAAGGTGTTCGGTGTGTTCCGTAACATCGTTGTTACACTCGTGTGTTTCCGGACATAATCGGAAAATGATTTCAATTGAATGATTACGAGTTATTTGTAAACTTTAGAATGTAATATCTTGTAATAAAGTCAACATATGTATTGCAATGGTATATCTCGTATACGAAGCAAAACATAGTTGAAATAAATAAATAAAATAAGTGGAACACATTTTACCCATAATCCATCACGATGGCGCCATTTTGAAACATGGATGTAAATAAAACGGACTCAGCTGTCATCATGGCTTATCATTCAATTTCAATCGTCAGCCAAGTATTAATCACGTCATCTTCGATAATCGCCAACATGGATACACCTCCTTCTACACCGTCATCGTCGCAAACTTCATATCCAACTGTCATGGGACGACTTGACGGAATTCAGAGAAGTTTAGATTCCCTCGAAAGACGATTTCCGAAAGACCCGGCCAGCTTTTCTTCAACGCCAGTGGGCAGAAAGACCAATTTGCGGAAATGTCAGGTAAAATATCTGTTCAGTTGTTCAATTTCCTAATCGTGCAAAGGCTTCTGTAACATCTGTCTAAGAAAACTATTAAGAAATTGATTATGGCCTAACTATCTGACTAGGTTTTATGCAATGTTTACAAACACAAGGATTACTTAATCTGTTATATCTCTCCAATTTCGACAGCTATAAATTGTCCTGGCAGAACACATAATGCATCAGCAATGTTTTATTAATGTTATCTAAGATGCATGTTCTTCCTTCTAATTACCAATCTTTACTTTTTAGCTACATTGTGAAGGTTTATTTATAAAAAGTAATAATGTTATTGTAAACTGGTATAGTCAAAATTGTGATTTCGAAATTACATTTGATTTATTTGATTTGATGGACAGGATCATGTGGTCAGGTTCACTGGCTTGGTTAATCATATCACAATTGATGCGCATGATGTCAGTCACTGGATTGTCTGATCAAGACTTGATTATTTACAAACTCTCATACAACCGGTAATGTAATGATATGAGAATATCACTATTGTTATCTTTGTTTCAGAGTGTGATACGGAGGGTTATGAAGATCCTCCAGACTGAGAAGGACTCACCTCTTGTAGTTGAGTATCTTGAGTGAGTATATTCTGTATATGCAATAATTTGAATTTATTGAAACTGAATTTTCTACAAAAATATCACACACAATTATCAGAGTTTATAACAGTGGGGCTCACAAATGAGTTCTTTATCATTAGTCAGTTGCAAATCAGTACATGTCTACCAAATTGATTGTTTAGAAATGATGTTTATGGTTGTTTTATGAATAATGTCTTACGTAAATTATGGATATGTACAAGTTCTCTGGAATGTATCTTCAAAGTAAACGAAAACACTGGATCCTATATGTAACTGTGATGTGATTTCAGCTACAACAGTGATTCGGTCACTGTTGCGAGAGATCGGGTGATTGGAGAGGTCCTGAAAAATCACTCAGAGAAGGAATGGGCCAACATGGACACTTTGCGAGGTATGGTATTGGGAGTACACTATATCAAAAGCACATACACTAATCAGAATCCTGTGAATGTTAAGTACTAAGGAAACAGGCCATGGGTCTGATACCAATAGACAAGATTTTTTTGTTTGTTTGTTGTTTAACGCTGCACTCAGCAATATGCCAGCTATATGACGGCAGTCTGTAAATAATCAAGTCTGGACCAGACAATCCAGTGATTAATATAATGAGCATCGATCCACGCAATTGGGATCCATGACATGCATCAACCAAGTCAGCGAGCCTGACCAACCGTCCCCGTTAGTCGCCTTTTATGACAGGCAATAGACACAATTTATTAATACATACATGTCCATATTACTTGTACTTAAACAAGAACTTAAGACATACATAATCTGCAAAACAAGACCTGCAGTAAAAATGTTCAGTCACACATTTGAAAGTGTTCATTCAGATGTGTATACTAATTATCAAATTCATTAAATAATCTTGTGGAAATTACTGCAATGTGAATGTTACTTATACTTGTAGCAGCCTTCAAGAACATATGGATCAACAAGAAAGACGACTACACCCGCAGCATCACCGGAAAGAAAGCAGACCACAGACGAGCAGCCAGGAGGAACAAGAGAAGAACAGCAGTAAGTGATAATTTGCCATGTAAATATCAGTAGGTTTCTTTTGCTATTTGTAATGCAGGATAAGTATACAAATGTAAACAAATAGTTAGATTTTACTAAGTTTCTTTGTTGGAACATAAATCATTCTTCCCTATTAAGATTAGATAAGAATCTAAGAATGTTTCGTATAAATTATTGATAACTGCAACTGCAAGCAGAAAGAACATAAATCAATACTGGCTGATTTACCTTACAGCTGTTTACCTTACATTACAGAAACAGTAATTCATAAGTGAAATAATTAAGTCGTTGCATACCAATGGCAACAATCAATTTTCATTAATTCTGCAGAAACTGAAGTCCCGCCAGAACTCACTGGACCAGTGCCCCAAGCCAGCAGCCTGGAAGGAACGCGTACAAGAAGTCCTCACCCGGGAGTGTACCTCTCCAGATGTAAGCGACGATGACCAGCCTGGGATGAGATGGGTTCACGAAATACAGTGGGAGTCCACACAGATGGTGGACATAAAGAAGTATTTAGACGAACGGACCGAGGCTGCTCTGAAGCATGTGAGGAGACCACCCAAGGCCAAGCTGGAGTACGACCCGACGAGGAGCTGTGAGGAGCCCATGCCGAAGAAGTTGCCGTCATGGGCCATTCGATCCACGCATGTGAGAGATGGTAAATGTCAAATGCTCTTTTTTAGACTTGTCTGTAGTTTATGAATGTGGGACAAAAACGTAAATTTTAAAATTCACATTTGGATTAACAAAACGGTGACCTTTCATTTTGTGACCAGCCATTTTGATATTCTTGGGGTGGAGCTGGGATTTTGTGTGATAACCAGTTATTTTTTAATTAACACTATAAGCCTGCATATCTCTTTTAGAAAATCTGTCAGCAACAATGTAAATTGTGTTGCAGAACATTCCCCTTTTTTAACAGTCTGTAGCTTAATTAGTTTTTCCATAAAATCCGACACCCCTAACATGCGTTTGATCGATAGTTTTCTTGGTAAATGAAAGCCCATATGTAATTATGCATCTGTTGATGATTGAGACCATGGGTTGAAATGTGGCTTTTACTCAGATTTCGGCAGTATTGCAGATATCTTGAGAGGGGTACATCAGTAACAGATCTCTTGCATTGTACTTATGTGAGCAAAGCTTAATCACATTAGACATGGTTCTGTCTTCTTTGCCTCGGAGTATCAAAATGAGCATTCAATGTGGAGGTTTTGTTATTTCCAGCCTTGCTTGAGTCCAGCCCCAGTCAGCCTACACCAAACAGGACAAGCGAACAGTAGGTTGTCAGTATAGAGATCAGGTAATTAGTATTTTCAGGGTTTTATCTTGGTTTGAGGTGGGTCTTTGTTAAGGGTATACATGGCAAAAGTACGGATATATTCCGAAAATTGAATCAAAATATTATTAATTCAAATTGTTGTACACGTTAGTCTTGCTCGGAATGTTACAAATATTTAACACCAAAATGCAATCATTTTGTTCTTGCAAAAAGTTGCCAGCCACAGGCACTTACTTGTTAGTTCCTGAGATAAACCCTGATTATATTTATTTAGCACTATTTGCATTATCATTTGTGGACTAACACACCTTTTTAGCATCATTTGTTCTCACATCTCAATTGTCATGTTGATAATGTATTGCCAACTGCAGTCTACAGTAAGAACACTAATGGGGATTCCGTGTAAGAATATAGATCCCCTGCAAGTTGGCAGCACCCCATGGTTGCTGTAGGAGGTAATTAATTGGGTGGTCTTTGGTGTCGGTGACTTAATTACATGTCATTACATGTGCCATGGATTGATGCTCATGATGTCAATCATTTGATTGTCTGGTCTAGACTTGATTTCTTTACAAAACGCCATCATGTTTTGTAATTGAATGTTGCTAACACCCAGCTAACACCCAGCTAACGCCACACCCAGCATGATGTCATCATGAGCATTGATCTACGCAATTGGTATACAACATGCATCAACCAAGTCAGCTTGTCTGACCACCCCATCCCTTAAGTCGCCTCTTGCGACAAGCATAGTCGCCTAAACTACAGCAAAAACATGTTTATTCATCATTAGAAACTAGTTACGAGTAACCATGACACAGATTGAGATATGTTAAGGTGGGGCTTCACTGTATTGGGCTAGATGTAAACTTGTAATATTATGAAGCAAATGAAATAACACTGCATTGTTGAGATCATTTCATATTTCCTCCTACTTTGAGTGAGTATGGTTTTAGGGCGCCTTTAGCAGTATTTCATCATCGGAAAATGCACTTCACACTTTGAACCCATGTGGGGAATCGTACCCATGGCTTTGGTGCGACAGGCCAACGCATTAACTGCTTTGCTCTTTCATTGACAACTTATGTAGCCGTTACAAGACAGGAAAGTTTCTATTGAGTAAACAGAAAGAAATTGTTACCTTCAAATAAAATTATTTGTGCTACAAATTCAGATTTTCTGTCTGAGAAATTGTTGAAATGCCTCCATTAAATGGTTTTCAAGATTTAATCAGACAAAAAATCAGAAAGATTGTCATTTATTGTATCATTATGTTTGTTATCATTGATTATGATAATACATAATGATATTTCAAATGTCATCCTACCCGATTCCATATTGGATTTCAGTCAAGTGTAGGCCCTCATTATCACAGTGGGGTGTGAGCCCCAACATGAGATAAGGGTGTGTGACGAGGCCACACATTAACCACTAGACTACCCCACCGCCAAATCTTACTTTGACAACTTGTCAACTGATGTAGTTTCAAAACAGGAACAGTTTCTATTGAGTATACTCAGAGAAATCCTTACCTCAGATGAGATTACTTTGTGATACAAATTAAGACTAAAGATTTTTTGTCTGTTGAAATACCTTTTTCAAGTTTGAATCACAGACAAAAAATCTGATACATTTATTGTATCATTGTTCATTTATGTTTGTTATCAATGATTTTGCTAATACATAATGATATTTGGTAGGATTGTGGGTTCGAATCCTGGTTCTAGGTTTGTCAGCACCATACCCGTGCTCGTGGGTTTCACCGAAGTGGTAAACGTCTGAGACCTGCATCACTTCGAGCTTTCCTCCCACATAAGCTGATACGTCACGATATTACTGGAATACTATTAAAAGCGGCATTAAACCCAACTCACTCCCAGTATTTGTCTGATCAAGGATAAGTTATTTTCAGGTCACTGTAATGTAACTGGTATATTGCTTAGTGTTTTTTTCTTATTTTGCATTCTCTCTCTCTCTCTCACTCTCACACTATTTTGTTTGATACTAACTAGTATTCTTCATAATGCACATTAGAATAGCATTTGATTTGCATTTTAATTTATTTATCCAATTTTATCAATTAAGTCTCAGGGATTCAAGGTTTGCATAGGTCTTCAGTACCTTATGTTTGCCTATAATGCTTCTAAATGGATTGGGTGGTCAATAGCAATGATTTTGTAGATGGTGTGACAATGTACCATGGTGGTGTACGACATTACATCTATCACTGGTTTCTCTGGTTTAGACTCACTACTGTACAGGTCACTGCCATGTAGCTGGAATATTGCTGAGTGTCATTGAGCATTCACTCACTCATTTTCCTTTCGTACTCATAAGTATTTCTCACATTGCACACTAGAATAGCATTTGCATTATTTGTTGAGTTGTTTAATTTTAATGTGTCCTTGCACATTATATCACTGGATTGTCTGGCTTTGCTTCGATTATTTACATACCAACATAATTTAGCTGGAATATTGCTGAGCTGATTTACAAAAACTGACAAATCAAACCTTCATGAGAACACAATTTGTCATCTTCCTAGAGAAGCCATTGTGTATAGTTGATTATGAATAGTACTTATTTATTTATTATCCTATTTATTTCATGCATATAACCAACCAATTTCTTTTCAGTACATTAGTGCAATAACTGTCTATGTGGATGTCTTTTTCTTGTGAAGTGTGAGTGAATGTGCTTGAGTGCTCTTTATGTTGTGAACATGATAACTATGATCAACTACTGTGTTTATATAGTATGGCATTATTTATTCAATTTCACCCAGACCAATCTAATAACTTTTAACATTGTCGTAAGAGGCGACTAACAAGATCAGGTGGTCAGGCTCGCTGACCTGGTTGATGCCAATTGCATTGATCGATGCTCATGATGTCAATCACTGGATTGTCTGGTCCAGACTCGGTTATTTACAGACCGCCGTGCTATAGCTGGAATAGTGCTGGGTGCGGGGTAAGAAATTACAAATAGGTTGTGAGTATGTGAACTTGTGCGTGCTTGTTATTTATTGTGTCAGTTAATGGAAGTCATAGTTCACCATGGCTATTTGTCACTATCATGTGAATACTGTTAAATCTGTGATATGTACATACAAAATATAATTACTAATAAATGAAATATATATCTTAAGCATTGTTTGTTTGTTGTCCCTTTTTATCATGTAGTATATTTTGTTTTCTACCATCATTACTGAATGTTCAAGTGAGTTAAGGTATGACATGTGGTTTGTCAACTTGTAAAATTGATAAAAGTTGTATTAAACACATTGTATTCAAAGAACCACAAGAACTGATACGTTGGAAGGCACAGCAGTACAAACTTGTGAATGAATACTCAGGTGTCGTTTTAGTTTCATGATTATTTTTCATGAAATCATTCACACTGGCTCAATACATTAATGCCATACTAAGTCAAACAAATCATTTTACTGCCTTTTGGTATAAAAATAATATCTCACAACCACACTTACCTTGGATGATGATTAATATTCCTTTACTTCCTGGCTGTACTCTATCTATGTGTATTTCATATATTTGATACAGTCATTTCTGCATCTAGCACTGCTTTGCCAACTTAACTGGCACTAGACTACCCTGGGTACACAGATGTTAGAATGTTGTAATAAGCATCAACCTCAATGGAAATAAGTGCTTACTTAAACTACATAAATATTACATACAATCCAGCAGTTCTCCCAGATAAATATGTTAAGCAGCTTAAGTCTATTGAGGTTGTGTAAACATCACACTTCCGGAGAATGTTTTTGGAGAACATGTTAGTATTGCTGTCAAAACAATTACCTGTTGCAAGCTTGGCATCAACGGTTTGGGTGATATTTAAGTGACTGTCATCTTTGAGACCAGTCAGTTCCACAATATTCTACTTTCTTCCAGATATATTCACCATTTTCCCACTAACTTTGAAATATGAATAAGATAAATGTGTACGTCATGGGACACAGTTTTGTCAAGAGGCTAAGCACTCATGCTCATGGGGATTTAGATCTCAATGGGGTCACAGCACATTTTCGAGGGATAGGTGGTGCTGATGTAGCCAGGATGATGGAAGAGGTGAGGCAACTCCCTCAAGGATTCTGTGGGATAATTTTCATGCAGATCGGTAAGTAAAATATGTATTGGCTTTTGTAAGTGATTTTGTTATTAGATTTAGCTTAAGACCCCTAGTCATAATACCGGCCATTCACCCATGGTCAGAAAACTAATATTGGACTTAATTAAATTTAATCATAAATATCAAATTATTTAGGGTAACTGTTTGCTTATTTTGTTTATTTTGAAGGCTTATAACACCCAACTCCATTGTCCAATCTTTTACAACTATTGTATTTTTCAGGCGAGAATGACATCAGTTCTGCAAGAGGCGCTGGGGAAATTGTAAACGCGATGGAAAGACTTGCTTCCCATGTCAGTGCTGCAATGCCAACATCACATCTGATTCTTGGATCTCTATTTGACAGACTCAAGCCAAGGGGCATGAGCAGAAATGCTTATAGTAAGAAAATGAGGTCAATTAACAAGACTCTCCAGGAACAGTTGGGTGACAACCCTCATGTCACCATATGGGACCACAGCCGCCAGTTTAACATGCGGGATTCCTTGTTTCTGCCTGATGGTGTCCACTTAGTGAATAAAGGGAACTCTAAATTTTACCATTCAATAAGGAAGGCAATTGTATGCAACATGCCCCATTGATTGACAGAAGATTGACTTAAGGCTGTAAAAATAAATAAAAGATTTGAATGTAAGCACATGAAATTTTGAGCATCATTTTTGTCTTTATTTACCAGGATGACCAGTTATCTATGGGGTGAAAAAAGGATCACTGAACAACAAATTTGGTTATAAATACCAGTTCTTTTGGGTCAGTCCAATGACAATAAGTGAATGGCAGTTGATTCTGGTTGAAATCTTTATAATTATTCAGGTTGTAACATTTTGTGTTACAGTGACAATGACACGGTTAAGAAGTTCCTGGTGCCTGAAGGGCACTTGATTTTTGTAGTTATGCCTTTGTATTTATCTAATCCATGTCAGATTCCAATTTATCTTCTAATTGAGGCTTTAGTAGGTTCAACCAATATCCTTATTAAACAGTCAACTTAGCTGAAGTAATGATTCATTACATACAAGCAGGATCCCTTCGAGTTGGGGTCACTCAAACCATTAAGTCTCCTATTGCAAGTACTTTCCCGAGGACTTGTTTATGTCCATAAAATTCACAGTTTATATCATTAAACAATAATGCCCACTGAGTTTAAGCTATCTAAAAGGCAGAGGGGGGAAGTTTTTTTGTTTTAGTGTTTACTCCTTATGAAGTTACACTATATGTACTGATTTAATCTCAAACATTACTGAGGATATTGAGGAATGTGATGACTCAGAAAATCACTGCAGTTGAATGATATCCCACACTGACACATTTATTGTTAAAAAATACATGAAGAAAATTTGCATCCGGATACCTTCCGGAAACCTTCCGGAAACCTTCCGGAAACCTTCCAAATGCCTTCAGCAACCTTCAAATCTCTTGGTATTTTCAAGATAACTTTTTTATATGTTTCACACTTAAGTGAACAAAATGCACCCCCCAAATTTTGACATTATTTTTGGAAGGTTTCCGGAAGGTATCCGGGCCGGATCCAAAATGGGAAGGTATCCGGAAGGTTTCCGGAAGGTTTCCGGAATCCGGAAACCTACACTTTTTTTGCTGTGATAATACTTGTCTATAGATGTAAACACATTTGATGTTACATCTGTGATGTTTAAGTTGATTTTGACAGCCCGGGCCAAGTCGGACCCAACACAAGCAAAACACTTCTGATAGAGACTATGTTGAGAATGTAGGGGGAAATGGACTTCACTTTGATCACCTTGTTTTCTGTAAATATCTGAGACACTATGAAGTGGTATATAGTTAGATATAATACTAATCTATAGATCTCAATCCATGGCATGATACATATATGAGGTTTAAGTTGATTTTGACAGCCCGGGCCGAGTCGGGGCAAACACATGTGACAGATTTTCTTAAGAAAATACAGTAAAAGTGCTTGACTTTAACGGATCCGTTTTCTTTAAATACGATGTACTGTGACATTATAAAGTGGTATATAGGTAGATAAAATACTAAGCTACAGATGTAAAGACATTTGATGATAGATATGTGTGTTTAAAGTTGATTTTGACAGCCCGGACCAAGTCGGACCCAACACAAGCCAAACACTTCTGATAGAGACTATGTTGAGAATGTAGAGGGAAAAGGGCTTCACTTTGAGCACTGTGTTTTCTTTAACTACCGCAGTATGAGACAATAAAGTGGTATAGAATTAGATATAATACTAGTCTTTAGATATAAAGAAAGTTAGGAACTTTAGAAGTGCTAGGACAGTTCTTAACACGTGTCGTGTCAGCCCTATGACATTCGCGAATATCCACTTCCAGAAAACATCCTGTGTTGGTTTAACATGAATTAGTAAAGGTTAATTAGGGATGACCAACACGTTAATTAATGAAAGAAGAGTAGTCAAAACACTGTCGTTTCCTGCCCTGGACATCACACCCCTACACGCTAAGGTCGGTGAGAAACTTTCTCATCAAAGAAAACACACAGTGAAAACACACAGACACTGACTTTTCTACGCGGACTCACGGTATGTAGTCATAATTATCAGTTTATTACATTGTTGAAGATGCATTTTGATTCAAACTCAATTAAATGAGCAAAACTATACGTTTGTGGACATTTGCGATCTGCCTAGATATGCACGTTTCGTTTTATTATTCTGCAATCCATTTTTAGTATTACCCGCTGGCCCGGTCCGGCCCGACTTTTAGGCAATCCCCTTGTAAACACATGCAGTCACAGGAGGCCTGCAGATTAGTCAAGGCCTTGCGTGTCACCAACTTTCTGGACGTCAACATATTTATCTCCTGTCCTGGTTCCTCCCTTCATGTAAATTGAGGATGGTAGCTGTGATGGTAATGCCAAGTCAATAATATGGACATACTTATTGTATCAGACACAATCACAACTGCAGTAAAGCCAGAATCAGTACAGCGCTTCGCATGAAGGAGGAGTCTGGTGTCTGCCTCTTCTTGGCTACATCTTAGGGCTTTAACATTGTTGACTGGCTCCACCGTTAGTCTTATGCAAGCCTGCTTCTCCGTTCATCTTCACTCCAGCCAGTAACAAGTACTTAAATCAGGTGTGCCTTGTTCTCTAGGTTCAGGAGGACATTCACTGTATGACCCAATGTTCGGGTGCAAGGGTCCTGAATGGTATGCCATGCTGGGGTCCTCTGTTGGCTCTCTCTGCATTTTTGATTGATTCTTCCTGATAAACATCAAACACCATGTCAGTATACCCACAGGATATTCCTTGTCGCAAGGTTTTGGGAACTTCAGTATACGACATATTTGCAGTAAGGTAATGTCTGCTTATGGCTCCAGGCTTCAGAGTGAAACCTTTGGTGCCTCGTTGTGCCTTCTAGGTACAAGATATCGACAATATCAAAGTGTGACATCCAACATTGGTGATGAAGATCATTTTGATCCTGGTAGAAATACTCTGCCAAAGATATAAACTCTGGAGTGCTAAGTGCTTCATAGAAGGTCTCCTGGCATATGTCTTGTGAAAACGCATTGATCATCTCTGTTATCTGTTTTGAGGCTTTCCATCAGTTAAACCCATTACAACCAAGCCGTTGTGGAATCTAACAGAACGGTTGTATCTTCAACCGTCAAGTACACCTTCAACAGAACCTTCAGCGATCACTCCAGTTTCTATGCAGAGGTCTCTTAACCCAGTTGTTCTACCACACCTAACAGTGTGTACACTGTGTGAAACACGCTTAACCTAGGAACGATTCAATGAATAGCTTCTTCTGTTTCAAAATGTTTTCAGTGGCCTTTGCATACAATGCTTGATCGCAAACCAAAACAATGCTCCCGAGGGCTAGTGATGTTCTGATCTTCTGGGACTGACAAAAAAACCATGGACAGTGAGTGGAAAGCCAGTCACAACTTTAACATGGACATGAATATTGAACCCTTTCAAGCTGCTCGCAGTCTGGTTTGCTGATCATTGCAACCGAGTTATCATCCATAGTAGGGTTTTCTTTTTCACCTCCTGTTTCAGTTCCATGTCGTCAACTTGAATGTTATCACGAGGTTGCGGCCCAGCTCATACACAAGCATTGTAGATAGGAAGCTGCGACTTGACAACCTTGATAGTTCCATGCTTCTGTGTTGGTTCATTCAGGACATCCTTCAAATGCTGTGGACCACTCATCTTTTGCTGCACGTTGATTCCATTCACTTAGTGTGATGTCCCTCCGCAACTTAGTGTCTCTTCCAGTCAGTCGATGTTATCAAACGCCAATGTTACTTGGACATTTGGTTGTATGCATTCTGGTAGTGTAACACTTTCTTCGCTCAGTGACAATTTATGAAGACAGAGTGCTGTGTCAATCTCTTCAATTTGGGAGTATGAAACGCCATGTCCAATTCGGTTCAGAATGCAAATTAGTTCCACACACCCAGTGACTAATTTCGCAACATATGGCAGCAGGATTTGTTTTTAGAGATTCACCTTGACACATGTTTTGCCATCACAATGTCCTACCCTATAGAGTCTGTGAATATGGTCTGATACAAGAATTAATGGGTTAGTGTCTCAAGTTAAAAGCATTTTCAAGAAGAGGTTTAATGATGCAGGAATGTAGGCAGATGCATTTTTCATTTCTGTTGATACAGTTGGCCAAGACATTGTAACATCTTATCCCTTGACTTCATTTCTAAGCATAACAAATACATTCATCATCATTTTATCAAAATGAGAAGTGTCTTGCTTGGCAGCTAGGAGCTGTTCCTTCAACTTCTGGTTTTCATTGACTAGCTAAGTCAATGTTTGTCAGGATAATCCGAAGGTTTGCTTTTCTTATCAAGTATCATATGGATACTCTTCAATTTGAGTATATGTTTGGTCAAGGTCGCACGAAACAGAGTCTGTGGAAGCTGCAGCAGCACTAGATTTGGCTTGTGGTGTCTTTCCAAGCTTAGTGTATAGCCAGAGCGATGGAAATCTCCTTCAGCAGCGACTTCAAAAACATTAACTGCTCCCCTTTGAAAAACGATAGATGAGAGTTATCTCTCTTGAAAAGCAGACAACACTGTTTGGATTCCTTTTTAAGAATGTTTAGTACCGTAATGTGACTTGGAAAATGTGTATTTGATCATTTAAACTTTCCTATATGTTAAGTAGAGTTAAATATTAGCAACTGTTTTCCAATAGAAAAAAAGATTCTATGCTCACATAATGCTTCTGGCTCACATCCCTGTTCTTGTTCTTATAAGGAGGCAATTGAAAGCGAGCAGTCATTGTCTCTAAATTCAACTTTAGTACAAAACATTAAGTTTGTCTTTTCTTTTGCAGAATAAAGGTCCCTTCTTATTGTAACTCAAAGGGTTTGTAATATTGTGTAATATATTTAGGTTGAAACCGAGTTCATATATGGTACTAGATGGCATTCTTCTTGGATTAGTGGTAACCAAATTACATCAAAATGTAACTTAACCATCATCTGAATACATGTAGGGCATGACTATGAGCAATAGGAGTAGTTTTTTATCAAAACATAATGACATATTTCAGGAAGTCCAACTTCATACAAATCTTGTATGCTTTTAACGCAAATCGACAATTGTCTTAAAATGCATCAAAAACCGTTCTTTACCACAACAAAAAAGATAATAAATTTCACTTTTTTCAGACTTTTAACGGACTTGGGTACTTCTTGGCTTCAATCATAGCCCATTTGGGTTTCGAAAGTCCCATTGCAGTGGTATGTGCAGTTTATTTTCTGACAGGTGGTAATATTTTAAGCAGAGGTCAAATGTTGTGACCTTGTGACCTCTGGTGAACTACATTTGTACTGTATTAGTCCTATGTTACATACCAACATATAGAGCATCAGGTTACCAACATTTTGAGTGGTCATACTTCACCATATGACTATTGCGTGTAAAGTTATTCCACTTTCTGGTTTCCCCTACCCCGAAATCTAGTCCCGTGGATTCGACTCTGGATTGTACAACTTTATCAATTGTTGGGGTCTGGCTCATGGACTAACAGCAGCACCACATACAGCAAGGCCACACACAGCATCACCACATACAGCAACACCACATACGGCAGCACCACATACAGCAACACCACACACTGCAACACCACATACAACAACACCACATACAACAACACCACATACAACAACACCACATACAACAACACCACATACAACAACACCACATACAACAACACCACATACAACAACACCACGTACAGCAACACCACATACAGCAACACCACATACAACAACACCACATACAACAACACCACATACAACAACACCACATACAACAACACCACGTACAGCAACACCACATACAGCAGCACCACATACAACAACACCACGTACAACAACACCACATACAACAACACCACATACAACAACACCACATACAGCAACACCACATACAACAACACCACATACAACAACACCACATACAACAACACCACATACAACAACACCACATACAACAACACCACATACAACAACACCACATACAACAACACCACATACAACAACACCACATACAACAACACCACATACAACAACACCACATACAACAACACCACATACAACAACACCACATACAACAACACCACGTACAACAACACCACATACAACAACACCACGTACAGCAACACCACATACAGCAACACCACATACAACAACACCACATACAACAACACCACATACAACAACACCACGTACAGCAACACCACATACAACAACACCACATACAACAACACCACATACAACAACACCACGTACAGCAACACCACATACAGCAGCACCACATACAACAACACCACGTACAACAACACCACATACAACAACACCACGTACAGCAACACCACATACAACAACACCACATACAACAACACCACATACAACAACACCACATACAACAACACCACGTACAGCAACACCACATACAGCAGCACCACATACAACAACACCACGTACAACAACACCACGTACAGTATCACCACATACAGCAGCACCACATACAACAACACCACGTACAGTATCACCACATACAGCAGCACCATATACAGAAACACCACATACAGCAGCACAACGTACATACTGTTAACAAACTATACATCGATGTACTAGGGTCACATAGTGTTAACACACAATACATCGATGTACTAGGGTCACATAGTGTTAACAAACAATACATCGATGTACTAGGGTCACATAGTGTTAACACACAATACATCGATGTTCCAGGGTAACAAAGTGTTAACAAACTATACATCCATGTTCTAGGATACAGCAGCACCATATACAGAAACACCACATACAGCAGCACAACGTACATACTGTTAACAAACTATAAATCCATGTACTAGGGTCACATACTGTTAACAAACTATACATCGATGTACTAGGGTCACATAGTGTTAACAACCTATACATAGATGTACTAGGGTCACATAGCGTTAACAAACTATAAATCCATGTACTAGGGTCACATAGTGTTAACAAACTATACATCGATGTACTAGGGTCACATAGCGTTAACACACAATACATCGATGTACTAGGGTCACATAGTGTTAACAAACTATACATCGATGTACTAGGGTCACATAGCGTTAACACACAATACATCGATGTACTAGGGTCACATAGTGTTAACAAACTATACATCGATGTACTAGGGTCACATAACGTTAACACACAATACATCGATGTACTAGGGTCACATTGTGTTAATAAACAATACATAGATGTACTAGGGTCACATAGTGTTAACAAACTATAAATCCATGCAATAGGGTCACATAGTGTTAACAAACTATACATCGATGTACTAGGGTCACATACTGTTAACAAACTATACATCGATGTACTAGGGTCACATAGTGTTAACAACCTATACATAGATGTACTAGGGTCACATAGCGTTAACAAACTATAAATCCATGTACTAGGGTCACATAGTGTTAACAAACTATACATAGATGTACTAGGGTTACATTGTGTTATTCGCCCAGATTATGTTTCTAGGTTTGTCAGCACCATACCCGTGCTCGTGGGTTTCACCGAAGTGGTAAACGTCTGAGACCTGCATCACTTCGGACTTTCCTCCCCCATAAAGCTGACACGCCGTGATATAACTGGAATACTGTTAAAAGCGGCATTAAACCCAACTCACTCACTACATTGTGTTAACAAACAATACATAGATGTACTAGGGTCACATAGTGTTAACAAACTATAAATCCATGTACTAGGGTCACATAGTGTTAACAAACTATACATCAATGTACTAGGGTTACATAGTGTTAACAAACTATACATCGATGTTCTAGGGTTACATAGCGTTAACAAACTATACATCGATGTACTAGGGTCACATAGTGTTAACAAACTATACATCGATGTACTAGGGTCACATAGTGTTAACAAACTATAAATCCATGTACTAGGGTCACATAGTGTTAACAAACTATAAATCCATGTCCTAGGTTCACATAGTGTTAACAAACTATAAATCCATGTACTAGGGTCACATAGTGTTAACAAACTATACATCGATGTACTAGGGTTACATAGTGTTAACAAACTATACATCGATGTACTAGGGTCACACAGTGTTAACAAACTATAAATCGATGTACTAGGGTCACACAGTGTTAACAAACCATACATCGATGTACTAGGGTCACATAGTGTTAACAAACCATACATCGATGTACTAGGGTCACATAGTGTTAACAACCAATACATCGATGTACTAGGGTAACATAGTGTTAACAACCAATACATCGATGTACTAGGGTTACATAGCGTTAACAAACTATACATCGATGTACTAGGGTTACATAGCGTTAACAAACTATACATCGATGTACTAGGGTCACATAGTGTTAACAAACTATACATCGATGTACTAGGGTCACATAGTGTTAACAAACTATACATCGATGTACTAGGGTTACATAGTGTTAACAAACAATACATCGATGTATTAGCGCTACACAGTGTTAACAAACAATACATCGAAGTACTAGGATTACATAGTGTTAACAAACCATACATCGATGTACTAGGGTTACATAGTGTTAACAAACCATACATCGATGTACTAGGGTTACATAGTGTTAACAAACTATACATCGATGTACTAGCGTTACATAGTGTTAACAAACTATACATCGATGTACTAGGGTCACATAGTGTTAACAAACTATACATCGATGTACTAGGGTCACATAGTGTTAACAAACTATACATCGATGTACTGGGGTTACATAGTGTTAACAAACTATACATCGATGTACTAGGGTTACATAGCGTTAACAAACTATACATCGATGTACTAGCGTTACTTAGTGTTAACAAACAATACATCGATGTACTAGCGTTACATAGCGTTAACAAACCATACATCGATGTACTAGCGTTACTTAGTGTTAACAACCAATACATCGATGTACTAGGGTTACATAGTGTTAACAAACCATACATCGATGTACTAGCGTTACTTAGTGTTAACAAACTATACATCGATGTACTAGGGTTACATAGTGTTAACAAACAATACATCGATGTATTAGCGCTACACAGTGTTAACAAACAATACATCGAAGTACTAGGGTAACATAGTGTTAACAAACCATACATCCATGTACTAGGGTCACATAGTGTTAACAAACTATACATAGATGTACTAGGGTTACATTGTGTTATTCGCCCAGATTATGTTTCTAGGTTTGTCAGCACCATACCCGTGCTCGTGGGTTTCACCGAAGTGGTAAACGTCTGAGACCTGCATCACTTCGGACTTTCCTCCCCCATAAAGCTGACACGCCGTGATATAACTGGAATACTGTTAAAAGCGGCATTAAACCCAACTCACTCACTACATTGTGTTAACAAACAATACATAGATGTACTAGGGTCACATAGTGTTAACAAACTATAAATCCATGTACTAGGGTCACATAGTGTTAACAAACTATACATCAATGTACTAGGGTTACATAGTGTTAACAAACTATACATCGATGTTCTAGGGTTACATAGCGTTAACAAACTATACATCGATGTACTAGGGTCACATAGTGTTAACAAACTATACATCGATGTACTAGGGTCACATAGTGTTAACAAACTATAAATCCATGTACTAGGGTCACATAGTGTTAACAAACTATAAATCCATGTCCTAGGTTCACATAGTGTTAACAAACTATAAATCCATGTACTAGGGTCACATAGTGTTAACAAACTATACATCGATGTACTAGGGTTACATAGTGTTAACAAACTATACATCGATGTACTAGGGTCACACAGTGTTAACAAACTATAAATCGATGTACTAGGGTCACACAGTGTTAACAAACCATACATCGATGTACTAGGGTCACATAGTGTTAACAAACCATACATCGATGTACTAGGGTCACATAGTGTTAACAACCAATACATCGATGTACTAGGGTAACATAGTGTTAACAACCAATACATCGATGTACTAGGGTTACATAGCGTTAACAAACTATACATCGATGTACTAGGGTTACATAGCGTTAACAAACTATACATCGATGTACTAGGGTCACATAGTGTTAACAAACTATACATCGATGTACTAGGGTCACATAGTGTTAACAAACTATACATCGATGTACTAGGGTTACATAGTGTTAACAAACAATACATCGATGTATTAGCGCTACACAGTGTTAACAAACAATACATCGAAGTACTAGGATTACATAGTGTTAACAAACCATACATCGATGTACTAGGGTTACATAGTGTTAACAAACCATACATCGATGTACTAGGGTTACATAGTGTTAACAAACTATACATCGATGTACTAGCGTTACATAGTGTTAACAAACTATACATCGATGTACTAGGGTCACATAGTGTTAACAAACTATACATCGATGTACTAGGGTCACATAGTGTTAACAAACTATACATCGATGTACTGGGGTTACATAGTGTTAACAAACTATACATCGATGTACTAGGGTTACATAGCGTTAACAAACTATACATCGATGTACTAGCGTTACTTAGTGTTAACAAACAATACATCGATGTACTAGCGTTACATAGCGTTAACAAACCATACATCGATGTACTAGCGTTACTTAGTGTTAACAACCAATACATCGATGTACTAGGGTTACATAGTGTTAACAAACCATACATCGATGTACTAGCGTTACTTAGTGTTAACAAACTATACATCGATGTACTAGGGTTACATAGTGTTAACAAACAATACATCGATGTATTAGCGCTACACAGTGTTAACAAACAATACATCGAAGTACTAGGGTAACATAGTGTTAACAAACCATACATCCATGTACTAGGGTCACATAGTGTTAACAAACTATACATCCATGTACTAGGGTCACATAGTGTTAACAAACTATACATCGATGTACCAGGGTAACATAGTGTTAACAAACTATACATCGATGTACTAGGGTAACGTAGTGTTAACAACCAATACATCGATGTACTAGGGTTACATAGCGTTAACAAACTATACATCGATGTACTAGCGTTACTTAGTGTTAACAACCAATACATCGATGTACTAGGGTTACATAGTGTTAACAAACCATACATCGATGTACTAGCGTTACTTAGTGTTAACAACCAATACATCGATGTACTAGGGTTACATAGCGTTAACAAACTATACATAGATGTACTAGGGTCACATAGTGTTAACAAACTATAAATCCATGTACTAGTGTCACATAGCGTTAACCAACTATACATCGATGTACTAGGGTCACATAGCGTTAACACACAATACATCGATGTACTAGGGTCACATAGTGTTAACAAACTATAAATCGATGTACTAGGGTCACATAGTGTTAACAAACTATACATCGATGTACTAGGGTAACATAGTGTTAACAAACTATACATCGATGTGCTAGGGTTACATAGCGTTAACAAACTATACATCGATGTACTAGCGTTACTTAGTGTTAACAAACCATACATCGATGTACTAGGGTTACATAGCGTTAACAAACTATACATCGATGTACTAGCGTTACTTAGTGCTAACAACCAA